ATTGTGTTGTAAAATTTGAAATACCTTTTTTGCAGCACACAGAGTAGCATTCAAGTGAATCTGCTTCACCGTCATTGTAGGAAATCCAAATGACAAAAAATCTATCTTCAACGCTCTAAGTGGATTTCTTTGGTTAGCAGCGCGTTGAAGTAAGGTATCTTGATTCCCATTCGGACAGCGCTTTTGGTATCACAAAAGCTGCACGAACTTTTTCGGATTTAGAAATGATTCTTGATCGGACTTTTGTGTCTGGAGGTTATGAAGATATCACAACAACTGTAATGTTCGTGGGTGTTTGCATTACAAAGGCACCGTTTAATTTCCGCTCTGCTAGATCCTCCTCACTGCGCGGTTATTTAAGCCATTATTCATTGGAAAGAACTCAGAGATATTCTATTAAACGGCTACACATACAAACACAAAGCAAAAGGTTTTAACGTGCTGAGATTTTGTTGACGCATTTGTACACAAAAAAGCATTTCTTTAAATGAAAATCGAAGAACATTGCTCAGAAAGGAAGTAAAACAATTCGCCTGAGAAAGACCATATTGCTTTGATGCGTTTATTGTCGATGGCATATCTTAATATTTATGTATTTTTCACACATTTTCCTTTATCCTGTTATACACTCGATTTTGATCGCCCCACAAAAGTACATTTCTCTCCATCTCTTTTATATCATTTTGATAATTAAAGTAAAGAATGTATATCGCATAGAATCCTTTTTTCACTATTATTATGTCAAGATAGACATTTAAGCACTCGAAGATTTTAGCCAGATCCTGGTGTCTGAAAGCTCGATACAAGCATCACGCACCAGAAACAAGAAATTCAGTGCACGCAATTATGTTTTTAGTAGTAGGTTTTAGAAATGTTTTACCCCTCGAAAGGAATAAAACGACTGTATACTTACTACAAATATCTTCGTTTCCCAAGCCATTTCTTAGTCAGCGTGTTGGCGGATGATGTGTAGGCGAGCGATGGTTTTCGCATCTGTCATTTGGAAATCGAATTCTTTCAGCTTAGTTCAAACTTTCGGATTCGCGGTTTGGCCGTCCGTGGTTCTAAGGGGAGAGGTATCGGTGGCTCTTTCGAAAGCATTTGTCATTTCTTCATTGCGCTCTTCTCGTCGCTTTCAATCCGTACAAGTGTATTTACTTAAACAAACAGTTATGGGCAGGATAAGTAATTAAACCAGACACTGGCAGCTGATGCAGCTGAATCTAAAAGAATGGGTCGAGTGATGTGGCGACGTAGAGGTCTGTAACTGAATATGAAGCTAGCAACTGAGCATGTCGCAGAGTTTAATTTTGAAAAGCATACTTACAAAAAAGAAACGGATTTCAAATTGTTCACCGACCAAAAATATATATACATAAAGCTAATTCTTAGCGTTAAAATTCAGTGACTGAGTTAGATTACAGCTTATATGAATTTATAATCTGGCGTATATATTTTCCCTTATTCAGTGTTGCCAGATAACTCAGTCTCAAACAGATGACAGAAAAAACTAAGGCACGCTTTCTCCATTAAACAACTAGGTCTTCTAAAACAAATTAATGAACAGTGATAGTGATAAACAGATTTAAGAAAGCCGTGGTAAGCCGCTTCAATCACTGATAGCCTCCTGAGACTGACCTGCATTTTTTGTTTTTGTTTTGGTTTGTTTTTCTCCTTCGAACTTCCATTCAGCTCGATGAAATCCAGCGTTTCCAGTCTAGGCTGAGCTGAGCTACCAGTTCTTGTCTGCGAGAAAATTTACTGGTTCAAACCAAAATACCACAATGTCACGCGAGTCCTATTTCGGTGATAAATGCTGGCCAACATCCATTCTTAGCGGGATAATACATCAATAATATTTCAAATACTTCCTTTGTCAAGCATAAATCTATTCATAAGGATGAGGCAGTCGTATCTGTCAGTTTTAATGGTGCATTATAAGAGTTGTGTTCCACTCCGGCCTGTCTCCGAATAGTTCTTCGCCATCTTTAAAAATGGTGTTGTAATTTATAATCTGGCGTATCCTTGTCAATCCTAAACCTTTGGACAGAAACACAATACCAAGCAAATGGAAAATTTCATTTTCTTACAGGGTAATGGTATTCTGAAAACTGAATATTGATTTCTTATCTCATCTCATACACACAAAACTGACATGAGTAACTCTGGTCGGAAGAGATCTTTGCTGTAGGGGATCAGATTTGCAAATTATTACATGCCTCTTGCGACGAAGCTGTCTCAATTGAATAGGAGTAGGAAGCTCTCGTTAGCAACTTAAGAACCTCGGCATATCAGTTAGTCGCCTGAAGAGGTTATTGCGACTATATTTGAGCACAATCCGTAGATTCATTGTTTCAGTGATTTGATAGTTTGCTGTAAGAACCCAAATACAATTTGAAAAAAGATATATCAGTAAACATTTGTTCACCTCAACTTTATCATATAAAAATTGCATTTTAGAGTTAGGAGCATTACTGATTTCCAGCTAGTTCAATCTTTCATAAAATCATCAGCCATACATTTTGTAGACATGACTTACTTCATTAGTTACCTTGATGAATTAGGAAATGAATATTCTGTCTCACTTTCTCATGTACTCATTTATTATTTCACCATTACGCCTTTTTACCACATTATGGAAATCAAACCCGCAAAATACACGACGATATTACATTATAGTACGGGGCTAAAATACGGACGGAAAGCGGAGGAACAAAATGGCCACAATGAACGATCAAAACATGCCTTTTTTCCGCTTCTTAGGCTTGAATTTTTAAGCAACAAACTTTGAAGTGCGTCGGTTTTTTTTTGGGTTGGTCATCAGGAACACTGAAATGAACTCTTTTGTGTTGTTTCCGCCTTTCACGCACGACGCCATATGCTATTGATTTAATGTTTAAATATGGCCGTAGGAAGCATGAGAACATAAACCTAAACCGACTTTTTGTAAACGAATAAATCTTCCCGCCAGGTGTGTAGTGAAATGAAAGGCATAAACATGGACATTCAACATTTCCATCCTTTGCCTTTGCAACCTTGTACCACGTTTAGAGGAAATTAGTAATCAGTGAGAATTTTAAATTGCTTGTTTGAAGCGCGATGAAAATAAATAGTTTATTTTGATTGATTATATTAGACAAAAATCGAGAATTTGACTGGCTCTCGGTTGTTTTCGGAAAATTTCTAAAGCCTAGCTTTGAATTTAAGAGATTGAGCTTTCTCAGATATCATTTAATTTTGAGTTATCAACAGAATTCCTGACGCATCATTTTTCATAATCAGTAAAAGAGTATACAGGGAGGCTAGTAATAAAGAGCCTCTGAGGAAGGTCTGCTGTCTCCAGTCCTCGATCTGCTGGCATCGAAGTTTGAAGGCTTCTCCCGTTCAATCCCTAGTGATCTGTTACTTGGGTACTCTGGGCCCATAAACCTTTTTGAGCTGCCGTATCTCGTGGGTGTGGCAGGTGAATATGGGCTTCGTTGGTATCTGAGAGTTTCATTCTGTCTGAAGTAAAGGCAAGGAGAAATGTTGACTCGGAACTCTATTTGGTTTCCGTGCTTGAAAATGAACTCAGGAATAATTACCTGTTACATGATAGCAACCATCCTGAAGTTCATGTTGAGTAACAAAGGTGTGTAAAGAGGGTCTCAATGGAGGTGATGACTTTTACAGCTAATAATTAAAATGTTGGCCATTTTACGGCTATCGGTCAATTTCTTCCCCATGTTGTTAAAAGAAAACTTTTTAAGGTTAACTTTTATACGATCAACGGTTAAAACTCGCCAATTTTTATGCCTAACGGCTTATTTTTTTGTCCGTTTTACAGCTAAGAGTCAACCTTATCGAGACCGTCTCGAAAAATACATCAACAAATAAAGACATTACACATTGCATTGAATTTATTCTTAAAAGTATGCGTCAAGTTTCTCTTTCTTATTCCTTACGTCTTGAAGGAATTTCGGCGTCGAGTTATCATTGTATCCATTAACGTTCTTTTTTTTTTGCGCTGTATGATTTGTCGTCGTCAGTGGGGCACTTTGGTTCTAGTTAACGAGAGAACTGAGGCGCTCAAGCGCCCCTCTTACTTTTGAAGCCCTATTACGATTTGTCAAAAAAGCTGTGTGGCTTAACTTGAATTACTTCCACAGTAACATATGTTGCAGTTAATCGCCCATAAATAATATTAGTGCGAAAACTGCACATGATTTTAATATTTCTTAGGTTCACTTTGCGTTAACAAAAGAAAGTTCTTAGAGTCTTAAAAGTCTTTGCCTTTTTATGTGATCAAAGACCTCGTAAGTGCTCTAAACGAGTTAGTTGTGCTGTTATAAAATTTGAATATTACTTACGAAAATAACATGGATTTTTTTTAATGCTACTTTATGTTAAATAAAAGTGTTATGTGATCTTATTGGTCCTTGGTTGTGTTTTAAAAATCAAGCGGAGGGTATTAGGCCTTGATAGGAAGGCAATTAGAGGAGCGCTGCGGCGTTAGCGTGGAATACTTTTTCCTCCTTTTATAGCTTGCTGAAAGAAAAATGAAACACAGCACCATAAAAAAATAAAAATAAAATGACATATCAAAGCACTAAGTGAAAAAAAGAGTGCAGGGAATGTTAAGGATGGAGATCATTAACGTTGATGCATAAAGAATGAGGAGGTTTTTAGATTATTATGCTTCGTGAAACAGATGCTTAGCTTTGAAGAGCAGAAAAAATCAATTGACTATGCAGTCGTATATAAGAGCCAGCTAAAAAGAAAGGTTTTCATTACAAAGAACTGAAGCCTTTCTTGGTCTTCCTGAGAGGGCTGAAGAGGAATTCCATTTGTCTGTTTGTTTTTCGGCCATATTGCAAGGCAGCTTTTCAATAAAATATATCATTTTAGTTACTACATATAGCGGACCTGTTTCACATTCTTTACTGTAAGATTTGAAATCAAAACTTCTTCATTAACGTGGACAGAACTTATAATTTTTGTTTGAAAGGGATGCACCTGGCTTACCTCTCGCCGTTAATATCTCTTGTGTGAACATCTTTTGTGCCGAATGTCCCTACCACCGAACCATTTTCAGACTTCTTCTGCGGTAAGGTTCTACCACGCTGCCAGTTGTAGTTGTGTCCTTCTATCATGTAATCAGGAGGCGGGGTCTTGACGGGGCCGTGTATGAATGGATCAACTTCCGGTAGTGTTTTCCGTTCAACCGTTCCATACGCGTTTAATTTTGGCAACTCTTTGACGTGTAAATGTTGCTTGTTTTCATTGTGGCGATAGTATATGAAAATACCAACGATAATTGCAAGAACAAGTGCACTAGCAGCGCTGGCGAAAAACACTGTTATATAGTCAGACCCGTGATCTAAAAAGAAGGGCGCAAATTATAAGTATTTGTATTTTTTTTTTAGCTGCGATTATCAGGCATTTAGATCAATGTAAACCACAAGCTAATATCATTTCTGGATATTCCCATTAAAAAGCAATTTGAGTAAATGAAACTTTGATACAAGCGAAATAATTCACCTCTCCAAGAACGAAATAGAGAAGATTCAAAGTTAATGGCAAGCATTTTGCATTGGGCTCAGTGAAGTAGTGTGAATGATTCGCCGAGAACTTAGGCAACAGCGCAGACCCCAGTTTGACTTTGTTCATTCTCGCTTTCCTGGTCTTGACTGCAATTTCATATTTTGGAGGTTTATACGATAGGGTGATAAACAAACGAATGGGCTTTTTCTCTCTACCCCAATATAGGGTTGTTACCGAACCTTAGTCGTTCTCATATACCTTGCACGAACAAAAGCCACACAAACAGTGCACCTGCGATCCCAAGTGATCTGACGTTAGAATCAGAAGAGGAGCCAGCCTGCTCCACATAAGGAGTGTCGATGACAATTGTATCTTCCCTAGTGTTGGCGCTGACGGTTGTCGTGACATTCCCAACTGTCTTTGAAAGCAGGGTCAGTGGAATGGAACTGGAGGGAGAGAGAGAGGTTGCTGTTGGAGATATTGCTACCAATACCGATGAGGAACTGACCAATGAAGAGGTAGGGACTGATACAATGCTTGTTGTTGTGGTTTCCGTTCCTGTTGGTAGCTCTTTAAAAAAACGCAATAATGATAATACGTAAGAATATCTTAGGAAGGGACAGTTCGTTGGAATAGATTAGATTTTACCCATATCACGTCTTAAGCTTTGAGACACTATGAAATTAGGCATTGCGCAGAAATGGTAAAACGCAAGTTACTTTCGACTTTTTTCCTATGGAAAAGACGATGCTCAGCTGTAAAACCTCTAGAGCTGAAACTCTTGTTGCATCACACAACGTAGATTTCCATTTTTTTTTTTCCAAAAAGCAGCTCAACGCTCTGAACGAGGGAATGAGCTGGTGTCAGTTTTCTGCATGTATACAAATAATTTTGTTATTTTTAATCTTCAGATTCAAAATATGTTGTTAGACCTTAGTTTATCTTTTTCCGCTATGACAATACATAGCTGGAGGGGTGAAGTTAGACTTTCCTCATTACTTAAAGAGGTATAAGGGTAAAAACGGCAGTTTTCAACAGCATTCACGAAGATTGATATTACTCACCACATGTATAAACCAAAGTCAAATACAAATGCTTCTTCTGCGGAAAAAGATCTCCGAAGAGTCCAGCATTAATTTTCACCCTGCACTTGTTTCTCCTTTCACATAGGGTTTTAAACTTGTCTGTGACGTCAGCGTCGCCCCACTTGTAATTCGTGTCATCATCGTGTCCGTCGTAGGGGCACAGCACGTGACCAGGCTGTGTTCGTCCATAGTGTGCAGAATAAATATTCAGCCCCAAGCTTGCGTTTGCGCAATGGACCACGAAGTGTTCTCCGTCACATGCTACTTCGCTTTCTATAACTCCAAAATCTGGTAAGGAGCTCGCTGAAAAATAAAAAACAAACTTTGATTGGTCTCGGAGATTTGAGCTTGCTTGAAGTGGCTTAATGCCTTCATGAGAGGACGGATATGGCTTTTACTGCAAGTATCATCTCCCGCAGCGTTATTTCCCCGGGTCTATTGGGAATGTGTGAAAACATGTCAAACTGTAGGGGATCAACTTATCATCGCTAGTTATTGGGGTCCTGGTTAGTGTTGTAATGCGACTCCATAACCTTTCAAACTATAGAGATCAATGTGTCATCGCTCGTGAATGGAGTCCTGGTTAATTTTATGAATGTCGTAATATGATTCTTTAATCTTAATAAAAGACTCCATTCTTTTGCCTGTTGTCTTAACCGGCTTTTCTACGACATATTTGTGGGTATGCAGCTATCCCGTATGGTGAATAACTAAAAGCGCTTTCCAGTAGCCTGTTGGTAAACGGCTTTCTCCCAGATCTTCACAGTCAATTGATTTCGTGATTTCGTGATTCCAGACACCCTTAACGCATGCGTACTTGTCTTCAAATATTCTGTCAAAAATACCATTTACATTTCGACCATGTCTAATCAGCACGACTTATTTAATATGAGAGGAACTAGCACTGTGAGAAATGTTAACTTGTAGAGGTGAGTCAGTGGAGTTACGGTTATCCTCCCACCTTTAGATTTTTAGCGCGAACATAGCTTACATACACGGATACACAGGATAGGTACGAGATGAGAGATGAATTTACAAAAATGTTTCAGTGATGAGGCCTTCTGTGCCACTTTGCGCGAAGAAGTTAGGTGAAGGTGAAGTTGCCACAATTAAACTTAATAATTGAAAGAAAATGTTAACTAACATACCTTGGTTTTTCAATCATTAATTTTAAGAGAAGGCTTTGGCTTTGGCTTTGGCTTGTGAAAATGCTTGCAAATAGATCATAAATTTTAGAAAAAGGGAAAAGTCTCTGCTTAAACTCAAAGCCTAAATGCTGACTCCTAGGTTCAAGCTAGCAGTGTCCTAATACAAAGTTTTTTGAGCCACAGCATCCTTGTTTTATTCCTAAGTTAATTTTTGACCTTTGCCAGTGGACTGCAAGAGTTATTGTTACAATAGCAAACAGAAACTGGCAAAAAGATGAGTCATCTTGGCAGTCCTGTTGATAAAAGATGTGACATCTTCACAACAGGAATACTGATGTGCTAAAGTAACAATGGAAACAGAATGTTATCTTGCATATGCCTAATTCTTCTATTCTTGATTATTTTCTTCTTCCTTTCTTTCCCAATATTTCAACTACAAGAAGGCTTAGGCTCAAATAATTTATTATACAATTTTTGCTTACATTTATGTCATTCTAGATCTCACAGTGAACAGTAATGTAATAGGGAACACAGTTGTGTGGCAGATGATAATGATCAAATGAATAAGTCTACTGAATTCATTTAAAAAGTACTATGTTTACACACTAGATGGACAGTACCATTGACACAGATAAGTCTCAAAACAGGTCAAAGCCTATCATTTGGTCAGATAGAAACACACCCAAACTACTGTGTCATGCACCAGGTCTGTTAGTAAGAGCTATTCTTCAGGGTTCTGATATTCAAAATTACACCAGAGTTAAGATAGTGTGCACTTACTTCTAAGAACTCAGAAAACAACACACCAAAACAGATGGGTTCTCAAGGCAACCCACCCAGTTTTAACTTTGTTTATTTACTTTTAGATATGTAAACAAGTTATACTTGGTTTTACTTCCAATTGGTCAAGAAATTGGCATTAATGTCTAACAATGGAAAGCCAATATGACGATAATTAGTTATTATTACAGAAAACTATACCATAAAATTTGACACTGAGTTACTGAAAACAACTCATACTTCATAATATGGGATTAACACAAACATGCTGGTACACATTTTGCAATTTATTTTCCAATTGTATACCTGGCCATCCATCGAACATTGTGGCCTTTCTGTGCTGCTGGAACTGTTTTTGTGATAAATTTTTTTTTTTTTTTAATTTACTGTGGTGTGACTTTCCCTAATCCCACTGCTAACTGTGGAAGAGGGCAGACTAATACAGAGGGTTTCCACCAGCAGCCTACATGCAGTTTTCTTTTTGTTTGACATAAATAGCATAATAATAACATAATTCGTCATAAATAGCTCCTTAGATAACTGAGAGAAGATTGCCAATTTCAGCAGTTCATAACATTTGGGTATTACACATAATCTGTAAAAATCATGTTCTTTGTTTCACTCTGCCTGTCTCATATAAAACCAAACTTCAGAAGTTAGGTTCTGGGACCCAGAGCCACCACCTTGGATTACATATTAACATTGTTTGATTTGAGACCACAACGAAGAAAGCATTTGGAGTGAATGTGAGCGAGAGCATCTGTGATATCATGACAAATGATCAGCCAGTCTTTGCTTGTCAGTGAACTGTTAACTTTCTCTAATATACCATTGGATTCTTTGCAATACAATAGTTTACTGACTGTTGCGGATGTATTTTCTTCCCCTTTGAACTCCATCACTAGAGATATAGGCTCTCTTTCAAGCTGGATTCCTATTATTTCTCTACCACAAGAACGTTTAATCTTTTGAAAGGTTTTAAAATGCACCGGCCATATGAACCCTGTCCTAGTATTAATTCCTTTTCACTGATTGGTTGAAGCTCAGATGGATCAATTAAATTAACAGTAGCAAATTTGCTACTGGGTGGTCCTGATTTTGTATTCCTGTCTCTAATCTGGAATAAAGTAATAAACAGAGGAAAAGTGAAGCTGGTCAGCTTAATAAGATTCACATGCTAGATTGTGTAATAAGTGGTAATAGGACTGAGTAGTCTTTGGTCTGTAATCATATGAGTGATAACAAAATCAGACGACTGCATAGTGGAAGTACAATTTGTTTATCACAAGTGTGATTACAGACCGAAACAAATGACACAAAGTCCTTTTACCAATTAATCATAAAAATTACAATTTCCAAATTAAAAAGAACACTTAAATATTGTCATTGCTCAAGGGAAACCAATTCTCTGTTTTAAAGAAAGCCCCAATTTAGGAATCTGTACACTATTTCTATGGTGATTGAAACCAAGGTTGTGATTGGTTGACTTAAACTACAACTTTGAATGTATTTGGCTTATTGAACTGTCCAACAACAACTTGGCAAGTGAATTAGTGGAAAATAGGAGTTTTTAAAACTAATCACAATCGAGGAAATTGTAATTCCTATGTTAATAGATTTATTGATAAACTTTATCCCTTTCATATAATACAAACAGAACTTTCCAAGATTCCCTGACTATTAAGGTACTGACCTATCCATGATAAAAATAAAATTTCCCTGATGAAATGGATACAAAATGTCCAGTCTCCTCTTCTTCATTAAAACATTGCTGAGATCATCTGAAATATTTCTTCCAGCATGGTATGAAACTCAATGGTGTAAAAACTTTAATTTCCCTGACTTTTCCCTGACCTTGAAATTTCTATCCCTGGCCATTTTTTGATCTGTGGTAACCTTGGTAGAGCAAGATCAACACTACATGGCAAGATGGAAGGAAAAATGCTCAAAGCTCAATGACTGTCCTTTTCAGACGAAAGTTTAGCCTGTCTGCTTGGCAAACAGAAATGAATGAATTCCCGCTAAATCATTTCAGAATGAGGCAATTTCAAGTGGGGATTCCTTGCCCTATTTTACGAAAATGATTGTAGTTTTTTTTCATTTCATCATAAAAAGGAGAAAAATTTTGAGGGCTACACTCTCCCCTCCCCCTATGAGTTTATGTTGAAGTCAACCCCAGGACGTTTTGTACAATGCAAGACAATGCTAGTTTGATTACGTTCAGCGTCAGTTCGGTGATATCGTTTTTTTTGTAACCAACTGCTCATTTTCTGATATCTATTTTATTCTATTTTGACGCTAACCGAGTACCTACCTTGGTTTTGTCCAGGGTCTTTTTATTCTGTTCGACTAATGCTTTCCATTTGCTATAATACATTCGCGCCAAGAATATGCATCTCTTTCCTTTTGTGTTCTCATTTCTCTGTTCTCCCTTTCCCTAGCTGTCCTTGACAATCGTTCACGTTTCCTCCTTTGATTTCGCATGCTGCGTTTTTTTTCGATTGTACTTTCCCGAGATCGTCGTGGCATGATTACTTTGCCAAGCACGCGCCAAGCGCGCGCTTTTTGTTGGCGATCGTCTTCGGTACTCGATTCCCTTTGGCTGAGTTTGTGCCCGCGTTTCCATACTGATATAATGTTGTAGAAAATTCTAGTGGACAGCGGCCTATCTCAACGCGATAAAATGATAAAAATTAACCGGAAAGCTTTGTTCGCAGTGAATGTACAACTACGAAGAATTAATGTGGATGAAACAGGGTACAAGGTTTATGCAAGGACTACCAGGAAAAAAAAAAAGCAGTTGAAATCCTCCAAGTATAAAGTTTTTTTAATGTAAAATGCGTTTCAATATCACCCGACCTGCACAGACTTCTGATCAGATTTATTATTCCCTCATCGGTAGTAGTATATCCTGTGCCAATTACGTAAGTGGAAGTCATGTTTACTGACAAAGTTTGACAAGCGATGACGTGTCATTGATGCCTAACATTCCCTCATCGGAAAATTGAGACATGTATAGGTCTGTTGGTGTTCTGGTTCACTTTCAGTTAAACGACATTTCTGTCACAAAGTGACGAGATTATGACGCCTTGCGGTAAGCATATTGAAGCAACCTGGAGCGCTACCAGATACTCCAGAAAAAAAGCCCATACAAAGCCTTAGAAAAGTTTTCTAAGGCTTTGTATGGGACAACGGGAGGTACTTACAGTGCACGCGTTTTCCGTCCTGTCATGTGCTTTAAGTCACTTAATGCAACGAAATTCGAATTATTAGGCAAAGTTCTGGTTAAGTACATAAGCATTGAGAGATGGAACAGAAGCTTATAACCAAGGTCGTAAGCTCCTGGTGGAGACAGTTATTATCCACTTTTGATCCA